TTAATGTTAGTGACGCGATGCTCCAAAAACATTGCCATGACATACACTACCAATCGGTGTGCCGTTGTGTAATGAGTTATTGGTCGTTATTCCCAGTACACGCAGTACTCAATACCCGCAACTGCACATCAGCAGCATCAAAAGGACAAGAGCAATCGATAATCCAAACCTTTTCATGAAATCCATCGTCACCGAACTCCCGTCCGCATTCGGTACACGTGAAACATTGTAGGTGGAAGTTCTTTCCCAGTGCCGTCACGCAACGCTAAAACATCTCATTGCTTAAGAAGTGACTATTTTGAAAATTCTGCCACAATATTCAACGAAAGTCAAATGCATGGCGCATCTCCAATGGGAGGTTCTAGCAGAAATCCACTCACATCCTTGATCGGACCATTACATCCTGCACACCTTGGGCTAAACTGGTTATGGTAGTCCTCTTCACAATACGCACGGCCATTCCTGGAAAGAAAAGGCTTCCATAGAACTCCCTGACATTACGAAACCCTAACAGAACCCTACTGGACTAAGTACTGATCCTACCTCTCGAAGAAATTTCTATGGCCAAGTTCCGATCCACATTCACAGCAAGTATAGTGCTCTGGATGCCACATTTTTCCTAGCGCAATCACAACCTGAAAAAAAAAAAACTCAAAAGACCGTAACCAGACTAAATATGTTATTTTCCGGTCAAATATGCCCCTTTTACTTCTGTTCCAGTGGGACTCGGAGAGCTCCGCCCCTTTTGCCTAACTACTCCGCCCACTAGTGACCTGAAAAGGGTGTTTCTATCAGGTCAACCATTTCGTTGCATTACGCATTACGTTGCATTAATTTCAATGTTTTTTATGACCCCCTGTAGCTGGTTCCCGTACGAACCCCACCCCGCCATCACCAGACTGCTTCTATTTCTATATTTTGACTGTGACCACATGGCGCACTCCAGCTCCGCCCCAAAATTCCTTCGGAACCGCACTTAGAGGGGGAGGGAGAAGTCGGAAAAGTTAACTGTTAAGACGGCAAATTCCTACAAATCCGCTCATTTCACCATAATTTTTCCTCTACTGCGACCTCCCCTTAAAACCCCAAAAGGACCCCATAAAAGGCATAATACAAGTGCCCTCTGTAGGGATTTCCCAACCGACGCTTGAACCTAGTTCCCATGACAGTAGCCCACTATCGTTATCAAACGGAGTTCTTAAGGCATTTGTGAAGCATAGGGGCAACTCGTCCATATCAAAACGAACTCGTCCAACCTGTCCAATAATCGGCTTGCCGCACTGTCCACAGTCGCCTTTCGGGATCGTCGAGATACCATGTTTACTGCTGTACTCGCTGTTCAACGTGCCCAGCATTGAGTCTGCATGTGAAGGATCGCGAGATGGTGAG